ACGTGTTCCAGTAGGAGCGATAGTCTCCTACTAGCCCTCGCCAACCATACCCTTTGGCTATGTGGTCTATCTCAGTCCAGCGTTGATTTGGTGATGGCGGCAGCCAGGTTACACAACGCCTCTCTTTGTGCCTAAAGTTAGTGCTGGCTAGAAACAGTTGATTATCCGAGCAGAACTGTAGGAGACGATCACCGTTGTCGGTTCGTCGGCAGGGAACTCCATACGTACCACCTACATACTTATCGGTCTGGCACAACTTCCCTACTTCGGCATTGAAGTCGCCTGCTAAAACAACTATATCTGAACGCTTTGCTTTTTGCAGCAAATTAGACGGTTTCACGTAGAAGTCATCCTTCAGTTCATCCAAACTGCAGTTTTTTGGGCGTAAGCGGAGACCACGAAAAGGCAACGACGGGTGGCGCCATCTTTCCTTCCATTAACAGACCCATTCAGACGGACCACACACATACGACTATCTACTTGGATCCAGTCAAGAAGTGATTTTTCCGCCCTAACACTAAGTGCTATCCCTACACCTAAGAGTCCTCGCGAGGTGGCTGAGGGGTCTCCTGACACCCTTAAAGTGAATTTTACAGATTAACCTTGTTGACCGGGTGAGGTCAAGTGAGTGACCACACTCGGGTCTTGTATGCATGTCTCCAAAACACAACATATATCCATGGCTCGAGATGCCAGAGTTCTTGCTAGTGATGCTTGTTGTCCGATTTGGCAGAGGTTCCGGAGGTTAAATGCTCCTATATGCAGTTGGTGACGTGGCTTTAAGAGACTATCGAGGGAGTTTCTATGGCTCTCATCGTTGTTGGTGGTCACAGAGTGAAGTGAAGATGACTCCTTAGCCTGCAGAATAGTACTAAATGTATTAGGGCAGAAAGATGAGAAAGGTGATGTGAGTGAAGGGAAATGATGCTCAGGAAGGCTTCGTGTGCTTTTGGAAGTGTGTGGGTGGTTGTCACTTCCCGGCTGTCCACACCGTGCAAGTTGATTAATTCTTCGGGTACCTGAAACAGAGAGAGTGTTGCGTGACCACAGAGCCCAGGGGACAACTGCTTGAGGCCGGTCACACGCGGCCTGTTTTGGTTTGTTCTTTTTATTCGGTGTGTCTCAGTTTTATTTTATTTTTATTTTTGATAACAGCTTGATTCCACACTGTATTTTTCGTACAAGTATGGAATTTTCAGCATGGAAATCGGTAGCCCAAATTTTGCAGGCCGACCATAGATATCAGATATGCGTCGGCAGGGGATCGAACCTCAGACCATGTGCATGGTCGGCGAGAGTCCTAACCGCTGTGCCACCGACGCACGCATATTTATCACTTCTGCCATGTGACACGGCAGCAGGGAGCGTGGTTGGAGTTAATCCGGGCCCCCATCGATCCGGCATGATATTTTGTGATTTTCTTTGAGTCATAGCAATGGAATGGGTAACTGGTTTCTGTCTAACTGCTATCCAAACAACCTTTCTGTCAAAGTAGGACCTCAAGCGACATAAGTCTCAGCCAGTATCGCTGAGTGTAAACACAAGGCGACATGAATTTCACCAGATGGACACACCAAAAACCAAATAGACTTCATCTCAATTTCAAGAAAGTAGAGACGGAGCCTACTGGACACAAGGTCGAGGAGAGGAGCAGATGTGGGTTCAGACCACTATCTAGTACAAGGGACTTTCAAGGTGAAACTAAAAGCCTCGAGGATAGCTGGGGATATGCCACAATGCAAGTTCAACACTCAATTACTGAAGGACACAATCACAAAGGACACTTTCACTGCAACTGTCAGAGCAAAGCAGGAAACACTACGCGACATCACTGAAGAATCATGCGTGGAAGAACATTGGAAGTCTCTGAAGGCGATTCTCAACGAAACGTGTTCAACGGTTCTAGGAAGAAAGAAAAGACAAGACAAGGAATGGCTCTTAATGAACATTTGGAAACTAATAGAAGAGAGGAGAACGGTGAAAGAGAAAATGATTCAATGCAAAGACGTACAGGAGAAGGAGATGCTAAACTCAACTTACACAGCACTGGACAAAGAAGTGAAGAAGAGTGCTATATATATATATATTTCCTTCACATTTCCAAGTGGAACGTATGGCCTCAAGCTAGTGGCTTGAAGTTTTTGTAGCAGTGTATATTTTACAGGATGAATTTGCTAACCTCATGCCCAACCTTTCCTCTTTACCAGCATTGCTTCTGGCTCAGCGAGGTAAAGAAGTACATCGGCCGGGGATCAAACCCCGGATCATTAGCATGGTTGGATAGCGTCCTAGGAAGGAAAAAAGACAATTCTACGACAATCTGATCACTGAAGCTGAGAAGGCAGCAGGACCTAAGGACACTATATAAGGTAACCAAGTTGTCAGTCAAGTCTCATAGACCGTTAATGACCAGCTCTTGCTACGCATGGCCTCACGCTGTCCCCCGAAGATTTTCAGAAGCCTTTCAGAAACGCTTAGTATTAACCGACGCAAAAACCAAAACACTGTTTGGCGACTCAAGAATTCTTTATCCTTAGGCCAACATATGACTAGCAACACTGCTTTTACTGAGTTAGCTTCTGACAGTTTTTTGATCTTCGTTCCGAACAACGACCGATGAGATGATGACTGGTGGATTGATGACCCGCGAAAATTATGGGGAAATTGGGTGTGAGCAAACAACCATGAATTGATCGTTCGATCTTCAACTACATTGACACAAGTCTTTATCCGGGAAGGGATCAACACACGCGAAACCTATAGAAGACAGCCAAGGGAGCCCAATTATCAAGAAAGAAAGACAGATTAAACAATGGGCGGGTCACTTCAATGGACCCTTGAACCGACCACCACCTGCAGCCCGTCCAGAAATACCAACAACAGCGCGCACACAACTGCAAGTTGACATCAATCTTCCGGCGAGAGCTGAAGTCTTAAATGCAATCAAGCTTCTGAAAGCTGAAAAAGCAGCTGGACCAGATGGAATAACCCCTGAAGCTCTAAAAGCAGACCCAGAGACGATAGCAGATATTGCAAAAGGTCTGGAAGGAGGGAAAGGTGCCTGCTTTCTGGAGGAAAGGTTACCTCGTGGAACTTCCAAAGAAGGGCGACTTAGGCCTCACTCTGCAAGAGCTGGCGAGGAATCATGCTCCTATCAACGCCAAGTAAAATTCTGAGCCGCATTATCCTAGGGAGAACAAAGGACGCACTGAATACAGAACTCCGACCAGAACAAGCTGGATTCAGGCAAGGCAAATCATGTACTGACCAAATTGCAACTCTACGCATCATCATCACAGAACAAAGCATGGAATGGCAGTAAAACCTCTACCTCAACTTTATAGACTTTGAGAAAGCCTTCGACAGACAGCGTTGATCGTGAAGTAATTTGGAAACTACTCGAGTACTACGGCGTACAGTGCCCCAATTATTCATCAACCTTATTCAACAGCTGTACGACAACGCTACATGTCAAGTGATCCACATGGGGGAAAACTCAGCGAGCGAGGCGTTTGGAGTAAACACAGGAGTCAGACAAGGGTGCTGCTTATTATCACCAATGATATTCCTAAATTGTGGTGGATTGGATTATGCGTCAGACTGTGAGTGGGAAACGAGAAGACAGAGATATCCAGAACCGACGTGAAGAACCTAGAAGACCTGGATTTCGCGAGTGGATGAGTTATGTTTGATGTCACACAAAATCGAAGACTAAGAAGCGAAAACCGACAAACTGGTCGAAGAAGCAGCAAAGACCGAACTCCAGGTGAACATGGACAAGACGGAGGTTATGAAAATAACCGACCAGCCAACCAACAACAACAACAGCATTAACATCCAGCGCCAATCACCATCAACGGGAGGGATTTGAAGGAGATTACTCCATTCACTTATCTAGCATTCAGCATTGTCTCAATTACAGGAAGTCGGAACGGACGAGGATGTCAAATCGGGTGAGAATCGGGAAGGTGAGCGAGAAACTCATTCACTCATCAACCTGAAACCAATCTGGAAATCTTCGTCACTCAGCCAGCATCAACAACAAAATTCGGTCGGATTCAATTCAGTACAAACAACATCAAGTCAGTTAGTTCTTCTATACGGATCAGACCGAAACTTGGCGGGCGGGTCACAAGGAATATTTCCAACAGCCTGTTGTAGACGTTACCTTTATCAACAACTGTCTTCGCTCTATACTGAATGAAGATCAGATGACTGGGCCGGAAAGAATCACCAACTATTGGAAACCATGGGAACAAACAAAATAGGAACCAATCGCCAACCAACAAATATGCAGGAGAAAGTGGACAGAAGAGTGGATTGGACACTACTCGCTGAGGAGGCTGGGCCGCTGGGTGACACTGAGCGCGCGTCAGGCCATTGCCCGAGTGGAACCAGGCCGAAAGGGTAGTGGCGAGTGGGTCGTCAGTGCAAGTGTGACATGGAGAAGATCGTGTGAAGAGGAGTTGAAACAGTATGGACTAACTGGCATGGATGCAGGTGAAAAGTACAGCAGAAGGCGTGCAGTTGAAGCCCTGCGTTCCACTAGGAACCCAAGGGAACAATAATAATAATACTAAGACATCTCAAATGCACTATACATATATACATAGAATCCAACATGGTGAGTCATGACTAGTGCTAACCGACTATTGGTTCCGAAGTAGAAATGATTGATGACTTGTTTAATTTCCTCTTACTTAACTTATGCAGACGTGCGTCAGTGGTTGTTCAATGGCAGAATGCTAGTCTGGTCTAGGGACTCCACCAAACATCAATTAACTGGTAGGTAGCCCGGTAAAGAGGAGAGAGTTTGAGCGTAAAGCTAGCAGCTCCACACCGCAGAAACAACACTACAACTACTTCTGGGACGTTAAAGCCCAGTCGAAACGCAAAGAGATGCAAAAAATATGACCTATTTAGGCGATATAAGGAGGCATTTATTTAGATAAATACAATGAAAATTATATACAACCAGAGAAAAAAGCACAATAATTATATTATGCATAGAATTTCTTATTTTGTTTATTTTTCTTTGCTTTCTTGGATGCTTGAATCTTGGCATATTTTGTCTTCATTGGTTGTTCATAACGAACTGCCTCATTGTCGTCTTCATCATCGCTCATTTCATCGTTATGCATATTATTATCATCATTATCGTTCATTGTTTCATCATTATCCTTATTTGTAAATGTAAAACCCCATCCAATTGATTTGCTAACACGATGCGTCTCTTCCAGCTCAGCTTGCTCCTTCTTCTGTTGTTGATTCAAATTTGCTATGCACTTCCATGTTTTACGTGCAGCTGCTATTCCAGCTTCACCAGATGTTTTCAGCTTGAAGTTTCCCGGAGTTTTAGGCAATTTACGCTTTGACGGCTGTTTTTCTACAGATGACGCGTCATTATCACCGTCACTATCAGTGGATGTTGATGACGATGAGCGCTTTCCATTATTGTCACTATCGTCATCACTTTCAGCATCATTACTGTTATCTGAATTAGCATACTCTTGAAGTATGTCTTCATCGATTGGTAAATCTAAATTAGGGAGATCATCATTGTCAACAGGTTTTTGACTTGCCATCTGCGCTCTAATCGTCTGGAAAATAAAAAAAACAAAACAAATAGAAATATGGAATAGAAATGTATGTTTAATTAGACAAATATACTGAATACCATATTGAACACATGTTTTGATCTAGTTGTGTTCTCTGAGCTATCTAGGTAGTTAATTTGCGAAGCTCCATTTTTTATCTACTAGGCAACATCTTTAGCGCATACTTCAATTCAAATTGAAGTGAGCTTTTAGATTTTTCTACGAGTTCACTATTGGTTATCTCTTCTGATGACCTTCAGCGTGATTGGTTGTTCTGTTTTCATACATGAGAAAATCAACAATAGCGTCCCCAAGAGTGCAATGAGAGCTCCAATGACCTTGAACGCAAGCTAGTTGTTGGCTGACAGCACCTGCCATTTTGATAGGTGAAATATCAACGCTATTCACCAATTAAGCAGCAAATTTCACTCGGATCACATTTGTAAGTATTGCCTGGACAAAGCATTAATAGTTCGTTAGGGTTAAGGGGGGTTAGGAACAGGGTCAGATTAAGGTTAGTGTCAGTGTTAAGTTTGGGGCTAGGGTCAAGATTAAGGTTAGGGTTACTATTAGGGATAGATTCAGAGTTGATGTCATTTATTTGAATTTGGTTTCTTATCCACATTTTCCTGGTAAGTAGTCGTCGACCCTCTTACTGGAAACCATAGTAACTCAAACGAAGGCTTTTATGGAAGATTGCACAACAGGATGAGAAAGATAAACGATTCACAAAAACATCTCATCTTGAGTCACCTCGGTGAATGCATGTACAGAAACTAGTATAACTTAGCAACTGATACTTCTCATTATAGCTGGAACGTAATTTTAAGTCATGTCAGAAAAGGATAATCTGTTTAATGTGTTTTTTCACGCATTTTATTGTAAATATACGTCATTTTTGTGCAAAAGTCACTTATTTTTATGATTGGTCGGCTGAAGTTCAGTCGTCCGTTCTCATTCCTCTGGACGCTATTGTTGAACTTTGCCTTCAAACCCTCCTGGCTGCTTCGATTGGAACTGACTGTTTCCTTGACTTGAACTTTGACCCTTTGTGTGTGAGGTTTCCTTCTTATCGATTGGTAAATTTTGTCTATCTCGATGTGTCTATTGATTGACGATTCACTAGAATACCAGGATTCTAAAAATTCTCTAGCATTTTAGGTGCTTACTCTGTCTAATGTTTGAACGTTATCCTGGGAAAGATACAGTTGGTCGAAACGGGATATTCATATATATATATATATATATAGTAAATACACTATTAATTTTATGCCACTTTTTAAATGAAAGAATCTGATTGGCTGTTTCAAGGTCACCCGTAGTTGGTGTCTATTCTTTAATGCTACCCTATACCAATAAATTCAAAATTAATTTACAGCAAGAAACGCAGCAAAGAAGGAAAATTTACTTTTGAAGCTCGAGACCAAGCTTGATCAGCTAACCGCCGACGGACAAGTATACTATCACGACCGTTTAAATCAGGAACTGGAATTGGCCAACGAGGTATTCCAGGAGAAGAGCTACTGACTTCAGCCTTAGATTTTGGTAGATATGGTAATAGAGATGCCTCTAATTCTAGAAACACGGGTGCTACATCACGTGTGACTATGGTTAGAGCTATTCCTTTCTGACCAGCACGTGCAGTTCTACCAACACGATGTCTATACGTTTTCTCAGATAATGGTACATTGTAGTTGATAACAAATTCCACATTAGGAATGTCTAGTCCCCTGAAAATTGAAACACAGAGGGGGAAAATAATTGTCAGGATAGTTAGAAATGGAGAATGGTTGAGGATCTATGATTGATTTATTGATATGGGTAGAATCAACTTGCATAAATCAATCAAATATATGTATATATATCAGCTACTCTTGTGGCACAAAATATTACTTAACAGACATATATTTTCATTACTTGGTGGTAACGTAAAGAGTTTTTCTGGAGAAGGGATAATTATGCCTATTTGGTTAATCAAACCTAGGCAAGTCGTAGATGGTTGCTGGAGGTGTTCGAACCAGTATTTTATCGGTTAAAAATTGAGCACTTAAATCGATAAGCCACAGCCTCAGGTATATGACTCTTTTGGATGAAAACTCGACAACTTACAAGCGAAAACCAATAAACTGACAGAAGAAGCTAGAAACGAAAAAAGGACTTCAAGTGAACATACAGAAGACGGATATGATGATGAAAATAACCAAACACCACCACCACCACCACCAACAACAACAAGCATCAGTCACTGTCAGCAAAAAAAATTTGAAGGAGACCACATCCTTCACTCATTTAAGAAGCACACTTTCAACTGCGTGAGACGACACGGATAAAGGGATATACAACACCAGAATCGGAAGGACAAGACAGACAGACAGATCTACATCACGCGGAAATCAGTTTGGAAATCTTCTGCACTGACTTATAGCCAGCACGAAGAACAAAATTCAGATTTTCAATATCAATGTAAAGTCAGTCAATTCACTTCTTCTATATGGATCAGAAACTTGGCAAAGACGTCACAGTAAGCATTTCCAGCAGGCTACTTCAAATATTCACAACCAACAGCTGCCTCTCTCTCTCTCTGGATTCATACTGAAGATAAGATGATTGCTCGGAAAGAATTAAAAAACAAGAGACTATGGGAACGAACCAATTAAGAACCTATTGATCAATAAGTGAGTGTAGAAGAAAGTTGAGATGAATAGGACACACTCAAAGCAGACTGTTGAATGACATCGCGCGTCAGGCCATTCCTCGAGTGGAACTCGAATATGATATAGAGGAGATCATGAGAGGAGGAGATGAGAGATTATGGTGCTAGCTAAAGAACGACTGTAGAAAAACAGAACAAAGTGAAGGTGTTCCACTTGAAACCCAACGAAACAATAATAATAATATACAATTGGTGGATGGTAGCTAGCAGTGGAATCCAGGATGCGCATTTCGTCCTAATTGGGACTCGTCAACTGGATGTACCTGCATTTCTCAGTGAGTGATGATGTTCCCACCGAGGCTCGAACCCAGTGCCCATAGTTTCAAACGCCAAAGCGTTATCCACTAGACCACTTGGGCCACGAGAGCCACCTCTTGTACAACGGGTCATATTAATTATTGAATTGAATTTTTGATTTTCCCGTCGTCGAAGCATCTGCACAAGAAGCCGACATGTCAACCTGAGACCGAGCACTTCGGTCCAATCAATCGACGGGAAAATCAAAAATTCAATTCGATAATAATAATATATGTAAGTAAACATGGTTTTGAAAGTAATTGTAATAAGAAATGCCACATTAGATGTAATAAACCATGGTACAAAAAAATTTAAAAAAAACAGATATAACTTAAAATGACGGATAAAGCTGTGATTATCTTGTGCCTCGGTGGTTTAATGATAGAATACTCGCCAACCAAACAAACACTTGGCTTGGGATTCAATTCTCCGCCGACGCTCTCCCCAAAACCTCACAGTTTACTCGCCGGTAGTAAGTCTAGGGGAAAGAGAGAAGGTTGAGAGTGAGGCTAGCAACCTAACCCATAAGAAGAACAACAACGCCAGCACCACTACTGAGAGACATATGTTCCACTAGAAAACGAAAGGAAATAAAAGGAGAATCTATCGAATTCTTCACAGAAAGAGATCAGTAAGTGCAAACATTTTTCTAAAATACACACTTACAGGGATCAGCTCTCGACAAGCACTTGTACATTTGTATGTAGTCAGCAATGAACCACACTTATTGTGTATTGCCTGAGTGCAAAAGCCTCGGAGTAGGGTGAGAACCAAAGACCCGACAGTTGGAAGTTGACCAACCAGAGTAATGAGATACATTACCAGGAGAGGAAAAACGTTCAGGAAGCTTAGCAAGATATTACTTTCAGAGGTAGGAAACATGCATGAGGTCAAAAACAATCAAGTGTACCTAGACTGGACACTGGTTAGTCATTAGTGTGATGTGTCTAGTCATTTCTTTGGTGCAGACTGAATTCTATAACAGTCAAGTTTGCCATATCGCCAAAATGTTGGGTGGCTCGACATCAGGCGGCACGCTCAATTGTTGTAATAGATGATTGAGGCAATCTAGAGGAAGCCCCATCTGACCTAGCTAGGTTTCGTGCTTCTTGGCACTCACCAGTCATCAAGGTGTATTTTCAAGCTTGAAGGAGCTCATGTCCCTCCTGAGATTATAACTCAGGTCACCACATAATGCTATAGTTAGATCGAATAGCTCAGTGGTAACGTCTCTGACTGCAAAACTGGGTGTCCCGAGTTCGAATCTGATACCGGATATTAGTTGTTTCAAGGTTGCAGATACGCCTTACTAACTGATGAATGGCAACATGCACGAATCCTAGGTCAGGCGAGGCTTCCTCCCTGTTGTTTCTAACCATCTGATAAATGTAGCGCCGTTCGATACCCAAACCATTCTGCTTTAGAATGACAAAGACTACTACACATTTTCACTACAGAATCATTCAGTTTTCAATTTCATTTGTGCTTCCCCCGCATATTGACTGTGTAAAAACACTACTTTGTACACACACACACAAATGACAATTATCTTATCTCAACTTCATGTCTGAAAGTTACCACCGACATGAAAAGATCACCAGACAGTGACCAATCTGTCTGTCTGTTTTCAACATAGAACTTTGCACCGATGTGCAGCAGTTCAAGTCGCCACACTCCCCACATGTAGCACACAAAGCAAGAGGAGAAAGTAGAAGAAATGCATAACAGAGACAGTAAACAGAGATATGAGACAAAAGGAATAGTAATAAGGAAGAACAATATAGTTTCATTGGAAATCATAAGTCACAAGGTGTGAATGCATCTGAGCCAGCCATTGAGAACGACGATTTTGAGCCATATCACCAATTGTCTCCAGCCTCCTTTGGTTTTTACCGTCCCGAGGACCCCAACCAAGAAGTCTACACCTTCTTACGTGGCCTAAACTAACTGTTGTGGATTTCATTGACTGGCAACATGTTTTGGTTTGACCACCACTATGTCAGCTAACATTACTCGCTGAGGAAGGCGGCGACTAAGCATACGTAACACATGTCTTACCAATCTCAGTCGATGTAGCTTCACAGCCTCGTTAATTAATTTCCCCTCCGACTCACCTAGCACTCAACGCCTAACCTCAGTGACCAATGTTATGTGTAGTGTTAATTGAATTCTCTCAGTCAAGTGTTCGCAGTGGATGACTCGTGCATCATGAATCTCTGACCTACGCTTCATTGCTCTGAATCACAGACATTGAAAGTGAAGGGTATGAGAAAAGACTAGCTGTCTTTGATCATACATATTTACATCCAAGCTCTTGTGTTAAACAGTTTAATATCACGAGAAAAGTCAATAGATGAGATTATAAAGCTACATCGATCAAGATGGCTCGGTCATGTGTTCCGCATGTCAAGTTACCGTCTTCTCCATCAATCAATGTTAACTGACATTAGGATTAGGTTGGAAAAAGGTCAGAGGTGATTAGAACAATCCATAAAGTCTGCGATTCTCGCTTTGACCATGTAGGTGGAGGTATAGACTAAGCGGTTGGGGTTGTGAGGATACTACGAACCAGAGGCTGGAGACTACTGGTTGATATGGCTGGAATCCATTTTCAAAATGGGGCAGATGTGTTCACTTTTGTGCAATCTCACACACAGCCATTCAGTTCTCATGTTTCTTCATGTTACTATTCTTTGTTTCTTGCCCACATTTCTGTTGATAACAGTTTTTTTTAAACCATTTTAAATCAATCAGTATTATAGTTCAACAAATTACGATTGAGCGAGATTCAGGTTTATCGATAACATGTTAACATCTCTGACTGCAGCACCGAATAACATTAGGTCGAATCCCATATGAGTGAGAGAAAAAACAGTCGCATCACATAAACTCAGAGATATTACAACCAGATGTCAATTTCAGTATTTTCCATTTAAAAAAATAATAATAATAATGCTGAAGATGCCCAACCAACGACGACAACAATAACAACAAAAACAACAAGCACCAATCACCATCAACGGGAGCAAAAGCAGTGGGAGTCACTTCTGTCATTTTTCTAGACAGCATTTCTTCAAACATACAGGCGCAGCACAGATGAGGGTGTCACAGACAAACCAGATTGGAAATAGCTAGACAGACCTTTATCACTGTGAAATCAAACTGCATTCAACATGAAGAACAAGATACAGCTTTTGTGTCGCCAAAAGACTGCAGACTTTCATCAACAACTGCTCCCATCACTCAATACCATGAGGGTCATATAGCCTGATAGGCAACGAACCAACCATGAACCTACTGCCGCCCCCCCTCCAACTATAATATGCAGTAGGTAATAGAGGTAGATTGGACACACGCTCAGAAGGCTGTTAGATGACACCACACGCTAAGTAAGCCCTCGAATGGGGATAGACGAGATAGGCTTCCATTTAGGAGGTCATGTGTGTGGGGAGAGACTAAACCTTATGAGCAATCTTGGAGACATTTTAAAAAGGTGTCAGGTGAGTGGCGCGTACAAAGTGGTCTGTGTTAAATTGAAGATAGTAAGACTGCAATGAGATGTTCATAATGAAATAACGAATATGTGAAATGAAACAGGTGGAGGTATATATTGAGAAAAGAGCTAATATCACCAATAATAAGTCCGGGTAGTACAAATGGAAAATTCGATAGTATTGAGAGAATGTTTGCATGAAGGACATAAATTATGACGAATAATAATAACAGTAATAATGGACATGTTCTTTTTGGATACAAAGTTCCGGTTTAGTCGATCTTATTGCAACAGCTTCAGCTATGTGTAGGAGATGTAAGCGAACTGTACGTGATAACGACTTCGGAATTAGGTATATAACCCTGAAAGCTGTGTTGACATTGATGCGATGTCCAGTATCGATCAAGTGTGATAGGATCGAGCTTTTTATACACTTGATTATCCCCCTGCTGAACCAAGTTGGTAAATGTTCTCGAAATCAAATGTTCAAAGTCGTTATCATGTACAGTTCGTTTACGTCTCCTACGCGTAGCTGAAGCTGTTGTAATAAGATCGACTAAACCGGAAATTTTTATCAAAAAACAACACATTCAGACGTTGTTCCTACCGTCACCAAACTTGGATTAATGATTCTTCTTCTCACCAGGAATGCTTCTTCTCCTTAACCATCTCAGTTTCTTTTTTGTTCCTTTGCTTATTATTACAATTATTATTATTATTATTCATAATTTATACCCTTCATGCAAACATTCTCTCAATACTATCTAATTTTCCATTTATACTATCCGGACTTATTATTAGTGATATTGTCTGTTTACTCAATATATGCCTCCACCTGTTTCATTTCACACATTTGAAAAAGACTGAGGAGAACAGAGTGAAATGCAGATTTGCTGATGAAGGATGAACCTAAAAAATAACAATTATAGACACAACAATAAAAAAGAAAAATATACACCTCAACTTACCAAGGGAAATCAATCGACGAAGTCGTGAAGCTACAAAGACTGAGATGGTTAAAACATGTATTACGTATGCCAAGCCATCGCCTCCCTCGACTGACGAGCAATGTTAGCGGATATAGGGTCAGGCTGGAAAAAAGCTAGCGGTGGTCAAACAAAAACATGGCACTAGTCAATGAAATCTACAACAGTTGGTCTAAGCCACGTAGGAAGGTGTAGACTTCCAGGCTGGGGTCCTCGGGACGGTAAAAATCTATGGTTGGAAACAATTGGTGACATGGCTCAAACTCATCGTTCTCAGTGGCTAGCGCAGATGCATCCACTCCTTGTGACTTATGATCTTCAATGAAACTGTTTTGTATTTCTTTATTACTCCTTTGTCTCACACCTCTGCTCACTGTTTCTATTATGCATTTCTTGTACTTTCTTCTCTTGCTTCGCGTGCTACACGGAGTGTGGCGACTTGAACTTCCGCACATTTGTGCAAAGTTCTATGTCGAAAACAGACAGACTTACCGACTAGCAACATCTGTTGCCACTAAGATTTGTACTTCACCTGATACAAATTTATTTAATGATTCTTTACGTTCACTTTGTTTCAAACGACCAGTTAATGCAACTGTAGAATGACCACGTTCATGGAGAAATTCTGAGACCAGTACAGTATCATGACACCGTTTACAAAATATCATAATACGATGATGATTCTGTTGACTGGATGTATCACTGTTATCATCCGCTATAATATAAGCAGAGAGAGAGAGAGAGGGAATTCAAGAAGAATTACTCAAGGGAAAATATAAAGGAATAAATTACAGAAATACTGAGAGTAGTAATATGGGTCAGAAACCTGGTGAGTGCTTCACGAAAAGCATCTCCAACAGCTGCTACCTTCACTGGCTCAATATTGAAGATCAAATAGCCGGTCAAAAAGAATCAGCAACAAGGAACTCTGACAGGGAACAAATCAACAGACGAGAACTTATCGCTCAATAAATATATTCCAAATAAAAAGAAAAGATGGATCGGACACATGCTGAGTAAATCGTCGATTAATATAGTGCGCCAGGCTGTTGTTCAAGTGGAACCCGATCGCAAAACGACAAGTTACATATTGGTCTAAGCGTAATATGCAGGAGATCAAAGACTATGGACAAGAGTGGAGCCAGCTAAGAATGACCTTAGAGAATGGGGCGAAGTGGAGAAATGCTGTTGAAGCCCTTCGTTCAAGTAGCAACACAAGGAAACAATAAAGATAATAATAAATAATACGGGGTTAGTAGAGTCAACCTTCCAAATGTTATTTTGTAGGGATTTAATCAGTTTCAAATTTGGGTAACAAAATGATACTACTGAAGACCAAGGAGTACAAGACAGCTGTTTCGTCCCGGTCTGGGACTCCTCATCAGTACACGCGCACATGATCTCGTCAGGGATCGCAAATAAATAGAAGTGAGAATCAATCAGTCATTTGATTGTATCCAATTGGTTGAGTGGTCAACGATCTCACCTTGTAATCAATAGGTCCTGGGTTCGATCTCTAATGGATGGTGGCATAGTCGTCTACTTATGAAGATTCATGGATAATCCCTATTCAGGCATTAATGAAAACAAAAAACCTAGATCAGCGAAGAGTCTCTTTTCGGCGGCGAATTCATTCATGCTTAGCTGTACAATCGCAAATATATATACGTGTGTGTTATTTTGTATGTATGTGTGTACATTAAGTTTGTCAAACAAAATTACAATTGGTTATGGTTATTATAACTAAACAGGTGAAGATTGGTAATACAAGTCAAGAAAATTAGGGCAGTAATAAAGATGATGAGTTATTACAAACAATTGTTAAAAGAAGTTATGTAATTGAACACCTGGTTTACAGTGGTCATTCCGTTTCAACAAACGCCTCCTGCTTCAAAGTAATCTACAGAGTCAAGAATAACCTATCAAACTCAATACGGTTTCGTCTTCTTTGTATCACTGAAGCTCTGGCCATTCACATAGAAAAACCGGAGCTGTGCATACAAAAGAAGATTACTCAACCACTTCTACTGTCATGGTAACAACTTTTTTATTTGGTTTGAGTTTTTTTTATTTTGATGACTTAATTTTGTTTCTTTCCCTGTTCTTTAATTGCTTATAATTCTTGTATTCATTTAGAGCTCTTACGTAATCTCGTATTCTCTTCTTTGTTCCTATGTGCATCCTGAGTAAAACTCACTCATCAAACTATTCATATTACTATTACATAACTTCTTTTAACAACTGTTTGTGACAACTCATCACCTTTGTTACTACCCTGATTTCATTAACACCTAATTTTCTTGACTTGTATTACCAATCTTCACCTGTTTATAGTTAAAATAACCTCAACCAATTGTAATTTTGTTTGACAAACTTAATGTACACACATACATACAAAATAACACATATATATTTGCGATTGTACAGCTAAGAAAATGAATTCGCCGCCGAAAAGAGTCTCTTCGCTGATCTACTTATGAAAAGTCCGAAACTAGGACGAAACAACTGTTCCGTGATTTCTGCTTGCCTTTTAATGGTTATCTCTGACTGATATCAATCAATCTGTGGTAAAACTTCAACACAGGTTTTGGCAGAAACTGAGAAATGTTGAAAAATCAAAGTGTTGGTCACGAAGAGAAAGTACAAGAAATGCATAATAGAAACAGTGAGCAGATGTGTGAGACAAACGAGTAATAACGAAGAACAAAACAGTTTCATTGAAGATCATAAGTCACAAGGAGTGGATGCATCTGCGCTAGCCACTGAGAACGATGAGTTTGAGCCATGTCACCAATTGTTTCCAACCATAGATTTTTACCGTCCCGAGGACCCCAGCCTGGAAGTCTACACCTTCCTACGTGGCTTAGACCAACTGTTGTGGATTTCATTGACTGGTGAGGCCAAGTTTTTATTTGACCGCCGCTAGCTTTTTTCCAGCCTGACCCTATATCCGCTAACATTGCTCGTCGAGGGAGGCGATGGCTTGGCATACGTAACACATGTCCTAACCATCTCAGTCTTTGTAACTTCACGACTTCGTCGATTGATTTCCCCTGTTTACTTAGAACTCGACGCCTAACCTTAATGTCGCTCACCTTATTATGCCACTTTACACAGGAAATAGAGCGCAGGCACCTATGATCAAAGACAGCTAGTCTTTTCATGTCTTCCACTCTCAGTGGCCAGGTCTCACAACCATAGAGGAGGACGGAGCGGACTGATGAGCAGTACACCCGCCCTTTGGTCGATAGTCGAACATCTCGTCTACGCCAGAGTCGGCGTAAACTGGCAAATGCGAAACGAGCCCCCTGTATTCGTGCGTTTCATTATAACTGCATGGTCCAAAGTCTGATATCACGTAGTGTCAGATGTGTACGTGTAGTACTGGATGTTTTCAAACTGAAAGAAAACAGCTGTCCACTCACTAAACCCTGGTTTATATCAGCTCTCTGAAGGCATTTCTGTTCGTCATAAAAAAAACATGTCATGAAATTAATGAAGTCCTTAAAACCAATTGAAACTCTTAGTGAGCAGTAAGATCGAGGGAAACTGTATTTATTCCCATATTAAGACAACAAAATATGTGATGGATAGCTGTCAGTAGTTTCGCAAAACCACTACTGTGGGTCCGCATTTCACTGGTAAAATGCTCACCAACTTTATAGGAGGTCAGCAGTTCGATTCCCAGCCGACGCATTTCTTGAAAAGACTTCTCATCTAGTTTATTAGCAAGCCGAAATATCCAGAAAGAAAAGAAAAACAAAAGGTTGGGAGCGAGGCTGGCAGTCCAAAACTTTTGAAAACAACATCGAGATTGAAACTTCAAACGATTCAATCCCTATGCTCCACACTTGGAATAAAAGTAATGTAAAACAGAAGTGTCTGAAAGGCACGAATTTCTTAACATTCATTTCCAGCTTTGGATAGATTCGGACAAGAAACGCTGGGCATAGCCGACATACCTGGCTGCATACGAACAGGTGAATTTATAGATACACATTGATGAAGCCAGCAGTGGTAGCTTATCCTTGATGGACATGTTGGTGGGTCCAGGAGAGCTGGAACCCCCCCCCATTTCAAACCTATGATATTCGTTCACGCGACCTCCAGAATCAAAAAGGATCGAATGGTGTGTCAACGTGTTTCGACCACCGCAAACTAGGGGGACACAGTCGCTGACGCTGCTCCATTACCATGTGGACCATAATCCAAACCAAAGGCTCAGAGGGTGACCCCTTTAAGACAACTATCTACATTTTGGTCTGGGCAGAAAGTATTCCAGATCTCGTACAAACTATGCTATTTTATGTGCTGCCTCTCTTGTTTAACATAATGCAAACCAGGTTTGTGTTTTAATATTCATAGGATAATTAGATAGTTGGAGGCAATCGGCCACAGGAAGCCTTGGACCTAGGTTTCGTGCTAGTTGGCACTCGCTAATCAGCAAGGCGTACCTGCAACCGTGAAGAAACCCATGTCCCTTCTGACTGATAGAATTCAGTCAGCACCAAAGAAAGGATTAGACACATCACAGTAGTTACTAGTGTCCAATCAAAGTACCCACTACAGTCCTACAGGAGGTCAATCACGAGCCCGAATAGCTCAGTGGCAGCGTCCCTGACTGTAGGCGGTACTGGGTGACGCGGGTTCGAATCTCAGAAGCGACATGAGTTCCTTCGAGGTGGTTGCAGATACGCCTTGCTGACTGATGAGTGCCAACTAGCACGAAATCTAGGTGGTGTCCAAGGCTTCCTGCCGATCGCCTTCAACTATCTAATATCATCAAATCTATGTACACCGTGATGGCGAGCTACCTAGTGGCATGGTGGCCACATTGCAAACGTGACTGATAGAATTCAGTCTGCACCAAAGAAAGGACTAGACACGTCATACTAGTGTCCAATCAAAATTCATTGGGATAAATAGGAAACAAGGCATTCAGGAGATAACTGTTACTCATAGATGATATCATTCGACAGTTTCTCTACTACAGTCACCTCACGACCGGCAGGATTGATGATGATAATAATAAAAACGTTCAATAATTGATTGGTTAATTTGTTGAGAAACAGTCATCAAAAATATTGATTTTGTCATCAGATATTAATTAACAGTTGCTTTGCAACAATATATGAGACTGAATTTTTTATTCAGATTATGTACATTTGGATTTTCTGTGTAACTTAATAATTATTTTGGGAAGATGTCCTTTCCAACAACATTCCAGTGGGGTGACTTTGCGACGACAGATGAACTTTTGTAGATACAGTGTGAACAGTGTAAGTCTATGAACCGTAAGCATAGGAATTGAAAATGATCGAGAGGAAAAGGTTGTGGTGTAGAATGTGTGCTGCTTGACAGCTAACTAAAAACCTTTACGCTTTTAACTGCACATTCCAATGTCATCCACGTGGAAAGATATAAGCAACAAGGAATCCTGACAGGCGACGAACCAACTAAGAACCAATCACCAAGCCAAACCGAGACGGAATGGACATACACTGCGGAGACAGTTGAGTGATATCACACGCCAGGGAGACACCCTCGAGGGGAATTCAAATGCGAAATGAAAGACTTGGGCATCACTTCGAGAGTGTCCTGGAAGCAATAGTATGAGTAGGTAAAATGAAAGTGTATGGGACACACATAGTATGGTCAGTTAAAAAGAGGACTGTAGGAAATCGAAATGTGCTCTTGACGTCCTGCATCCCACTTGGAGCTCAAAGGAATAAAAATAATAATAGTTAAGCAAAAGCCCGAATAAAATGTTGAATTTAAAGGTGATACCACTGCTGAGATCCTGAAGAACCGCCTATCCAGATCACTGAGAAAAGCTTTCTTTTCGGCTGAAACCTACGGATCAGTTTTTACAGCCGACAAATGATTAATGCATGTGTGAAGAACTAACTGCCGCTTTGGGTCACTTCAGTATGTATTTATAAATTTACTTGTTCCTGTGGAGCTGGTTATATTGGCCGCACAAAATGCACACTTTCTAAACATTATCCGGTATGGTTAGAAAAAGAACAATTCAAGACAGTTACTAGCTCAATTCTCGAGCACTTGATGAACCTCAAGCCGCGCAGCTCCACCACAGTCATCTTTCAAAATAATCTACAAGATAAGACAAAGTGGTACAAAGGGTGTTAGGTTTCGGCATTTGTGTATGGCCGAGGCCCTGGCTATTCTTCAATACAATCCCGAAATCCAAATACAGAAAAAAGTTTGTCCAGTCTCTTATATTCTCGGATAGTCTTAACCTCTTCATTAGTCGTTCCCTTGACTTTTTTTTAAATTTACATTTAGTTTAATAATGAATTCACTACTATCACTCTCATATATTCCTTTTGTACATTTTCTCACCCTCTTTACACTTGTTAAATTGAAACTCAACTGACACCTTTTTCTCACTCAATAACAACTCTAATCTTATCAAATTTATATCCTTTTAATTCTAACATCCGGAGATTCAATTGTTGTGAGAGCTGCCTGATAGCCAAAATTGGTTGACAGAAATTTACGTCAATGTTTACGTCCCATATCTTAGTCATGAGAAGAGAACAAAAACAAAGACTAACTCAACAACCAACCACAGTAGACTTAGCGTGGGCGGATACGATTAGCAGATATATGGTCTGACCTTCAAAGAAACGGCCACAAAGAGATGACAGATTAACTTACAGCGAGAAAACAACCAATCAGAAGACGCTGTTTCTCTGCTAACAATAACGAATAATAATGTACATAAAAATCTATCAATATCTGTCGATTTCCTCAACAAACAATCTGTTGACTGGTCCTTGTCTTCTATCATTACACAATAAACAGCATATAAAATAAATAATTACCTGAAATACCTAACTTTTCTAAAACATTTGTTCGTGTTACACTTTCTACAATCCAGTCAAGCATAGTTGCACGATCTGTCAATCGGATAGGCAGGCAATAATGTGATAAACCAGCTGGGAAACCAGTTTTCAAACATTTTATCATTGTATCAATACTGTTAGCAGCAGCAGCAGGGGTGGCTGTGGATGATTGCAACTGATCAGTGGGATTGATCTTCTCAGTAGAGTTGACTTTTTCACCTCCACCTTGCTCTTCTGCTTTTTGTAACGGATCATTTGAACTGATAAAAACGGCGTTTGATGAAAGTGCAGCACGGTGTAACTTGACAACATCTTTTGTCATTGTTGCTGAATATAAATACGTCTGTGGATGTGGATATTTCGCCTTGACAGGATTTGTTGATGCTTTAAAATTGTTTGTTGAAGTATTACCTGAAAAATACTTGTTTAAGTTAAACGTATTAAATTTCTGGCGAGAAATTTAAAAAATGCTACTAGCAAGAGAAAATACGGAAATTAAAAAGCAAATAGATTAGGAAGTATGAGATAACGCAGAGTTGATTATTGTTATCAATAATTATGTGACAAAGGTTTTGATCTAAATTAACACAGAGTAATAATTAAAATTAAAACAATGAGTCCCTTTGATAAATTTGAATAAGGCATTAAGAAGACAAATTTCACGAGATGATATGTGTTCACTTGACATAGAATCTTTTTCATCAATGTTCTTCTTAATGAAACTGTTGATTTCATTTACGATAACATCACAAGCAATGAGACAAACTTACCTATTCCTGTAACTTACATCAGAGATATCATCTTCATGTGTACAGAAAATATTAGATTCGCCTTCCAAGAAAAGGCATACAAACAAATCGATGGTGTTGCGATGAGGAGCCCTCTTGGGCCCCTGTTAGAAGATATTTTAATGTCGAAACTGGAGAGACAAATGCAAGCTATGCTTGGAGAATTTATGCTGTATAAACGTCGTTATGTAGATGATACTCTCATTATTGGTAATAATAGTAAATCTATTGAAAACTTTATTACCCTATTTAACCATATTCATCCAAATATCCGAGTGACTTCCGAACTAGAATCGAATAACAAACTCGGTTTCCTGGATATTACTATGACTAGGAGAGATGATGGGACGATTCAGCGATCTATTTTTCGTAAACAGACATGAAGTGGACAATATCTTCATTTTACCAGTTTTGTTACCATCCAGTATAAACCTTTCCTAGTTGTTGAAATGTTTGCTCTCAAGGGCCCGAAAAATACGTACGAGTGACACACTGATGAATGAGTTTCGACACATACATTCAGTTTTATTAGCTAATGGTTGTCCGGAGAACTTTATCACTTGTCACAGTAAAGAAAGACCACATCTCAAAAAGAGAGTTTCTGTACCAAAGAAAGCTATCTATCTTTATTAACCTATCATTCAAGGGCGACCAGATTATGCAGTTGACAGCTAGCTCAAAGACTTCGGTCAGACATCAAGAGCACATTCTACGCCGCCATATCTCTTTTTCTCATTTGCCGAACATTTTCGATCCGTGTACCTACCTACGATTAAAGGACGAAATCCTGTGGACTCTACTTCAAACTGTATCTACAAGTTCACCTGCAGTTGTTGCGGTGACACACACCTATATAGGTAGAACCAACAAAATGTTCCAATGCCGTGGTCGAAAAGAACATGTTCCAAAATGACTATTAAATCATATCGAAAATCCCAACGCGATTAATCTGAATAGAAATCCAGCATCATCATCCATTGCAAAACACATATTAATGTCAGGTCACAAAATCAATATTAATGACTGTTTCACAATTATTTCATCACATAACTCTAATTCACGGTTGGTTATTGAAGGTGATGGAAGCGCTTTGGGGGATTAATCATATACAGCCTAAACTGTGTGTACAGAAAACAATAGACTTCAATCTTCGTCTACCATGGAGACTACATGACCTATTTAAATGTGATCATTGGCCATTAGTATGTACTTTTGTTTTTTATTTAACTGAGTAATTTTCATGAACTTTACTTTACTACTGTTAACCATGTTAGTAGTTGTAAAGCGGTTGTAAAGCAACAACGAAATGACGATATCATCTCGCGGCGAAATTTGTCTTCTTAATGCCTTATTCAAATAGAGTAATAAATTGTCATTTTAATTTCGTTTTCTTTTCAGAATTAAATTAACCATCTCTTAGTTACAGAAATAGCGTTGAGTATTCAAATTTGTATTATTTGTTTGATTACGACAAATGGAGATCAAGAAAGCGAGTATAATTTCACAATGATATATACTACTTATTGATTTGAGTAGTTGAGAACTGTTGATGTCAGTCGATAGTGCTTGTTACCAAGGTGGCAAACTTAGCTCTGAACGTGAGAAACAACCACCTAGTGTTCTAGATCATTTCAATCTAGTCTATAACCCATTCTAATTCACCGTATTTTTCTTTATTTCAATCAGCACATTCCACGTAATCGAAGATCAATAGAAAGTCAAAATAAAAGGTAGGACCAGATTCTGAAATATATCTCCAACTTTCAAGTGATGTGGTTAGGGTGATATATATATATATATATATATATCAAAAATTGAACTGACTGCCTGACTAACCGGTCTAAACATAGAAGTTTGCATCGATGTGCAGCAGTCCAAGTTGCCACTCTCCCTCCATGCAGCGCACAAAGCAAGAGAAGAGAGTAAAGAGACATTCAGAACAGAGATAATAAACACGAGTGTGAGAGAAAAAGAAAAGTAATATGGAAGTATATCGGCCGTACGCAACGTCAAGTCCACAAACGTATCCTGGAACACTGCCCAGCTTGGTTAGCCAGAGGAGAAAAGAAGAATAGCAACAGCTCAATCCTCGAACACCTTGTTATCTCCGAACATCGAGCACCCTCTACATGAATGCTTCACAGTGGTACACAGAGTCCCTCAATATCGTACAAAAGGACTCCGGATACGACATCTGTGCATAGCTGAGGCATTAGCTATTCGTGGCATAAAACCGGACCTATGCATACAAAAACGATACATACATTCTCTAGCCCTACCATGGCCAGAGTAAATTTCTGACTATAATTTTTCTCCTCTCTTTTAATATGTAAGTTCACTATTATTATTATTATTATTACTATTATTATTATCATTATTACTGTTCTCAATACTTTTATTATTATTACTATTCCCACCATCCACATGTTATTACTACTCTATTACTGTTTATTAATAACATTGCTTTTTCACACAGATCTTATACAAAACTACTGTATAACCTTTCCACTAGTTCCTGTCCACTCTACACTAGCTTATTGATTAGTCATTATCTCACACTTAATAGGTCATGCCAACTTCTGTCTCCTTTCTAACTTACAATTAGTCATCGCTTCTTACACCTAACACTATGTGGTAGAATTTTCAAGGACAAAGTTTACCAGTATCTGATTGGTCAAAAACTTATGTGTTTAATTATAATTACGATTGTACAGCTCATGAAAATGAATCGTCGAAAAGAAAATTTTCTTCGCTGTTTGTTTTACGGGTTGATCACGGATTGATATCAGTTAGAGAACCATTGAAAACCAGGGAGTACTGGACAGCTGCTGTTTCATCCTAGTTTGGGAATCATCGGCAGTACGCACCCACTGGGATTCGAACCCGGGACCTTCCGGTTACAAGGCAAGCTCGTATACCATTCAGCCACTGGGACCCAGTGGGTGCGTACTGCCGATGATTCCCAAACTAGGATGAAACAGCAGCTGTCCAGTACTCCCTGGTTTTCAATGGTTCTCTAACTGATATCAATCCGTGATCAACCCGTAAAACATAACTAATCCTTACAAACCAAACTATAGAAAGTTCGCTGTTTGTGCCTTTTCTTATGACTCAATATGGGAATATTTCGTTCATTAATATGGAAGAACAATAGAGTTTTATCGGATATGAGAAATTACGAAGAGTGAATGCGTCTGCGCTAGCTATTGACAACGACGACTCTGAGCCGTATCACCGATTGTCTCCAGCTTTTATTGGTTATTACCATCCCAAGGATCGCAATCAGAAAGCCAGTCTCTTCCTCCCTAAGTGGTTGACTGGCTTAAACTAACTGTTATGGATTTCATTGACAGACGAAGCTATGTTCTGGTTTGACCACCAACAGCTAACTCTTTTCCGACCTGATCCTATATCAGTCAACTAAATCCATACTAATTTGTTTGTGACCAAGTATTACACATATATTAATCACTCAGCTAACATTGCCCGTCTGTCGAGGAAGGCGATAGCTAAACAGGCATGTGTAACACATGTCCTAACCATCTCATTCGATTTAACTCCACAACCTCATCGATTGATTTTCCTTACATCTTACCTAGCACTCGACCGAAGCCTCTTCCAATATTTATCACACTATTATTTATACCACCATCTAACACGGCTGATAGAACTCAGGCACCCATGATCAAAGACAACTAGCCAGTGTTTTCATGTCTTCCACTCTCAAGGGCCAGGTCTCACAGCCAGCCAAAAAGGAGGACGGAGTGGACTGCTGAGCGGTACACACACACGGTATGCCAGAGACGGTGTAAACTGGCATATACGAAACTAGCCCTCTGTATCCGTGCTGAGATTTCGACAGCGATCAACCCGTCGGCACTGGCTGATGGTACTTCTCAAATAAGTGAAGTGGTCAAACACGCTGCACCAACTACTTCACTCGCTATTTCTAAGCTAGGAGTGAGTCAATGTAGTCTAGTCCAACCCTGTAGCATAATTTTACATTTGCCGGGAGCGGATCGCATACCAAAAATTCGCAGATTGCAGCTCAAGGAGTTCAAAAGACTCTGCATTATGTCAACATCCTCATATAGAAGAAAAATATCATCTGCATATTCTAAGTCAACGAGATTATTCCCTAGTGGTAACAAGTCAATCCCTGAGTCGCTAAAGTCAGCAGTTAGGGTTAATTCCATTAGTACATCTATGATGAAATTAAATAAAAACAGGGACAATGGGCATCCTTGACGGACACTCCTACTATTACTTGTCACCATGATTGCACAGCTGGATAATAAACTCGTTGTTTAAAAGAGTCACTTCGTGGAATATATATTTGTGTTCTTAACTTACTGAAATAACCACCACAAAAACAAAAGACAATCAACAAATATAGAATCCCAACCATAATGATATTTTTTTTTGATAGCGTTTTTAGAGGACGGAGATTATCTGAAAAATATGATGTGATGTATTTGCGCTATACATTTCGAACAATCTATTCACACACATTTACTTGTCAAGTCAACATATATGGAAAATTTAAATTAAACAAAGTGACAAAAAAAGATTTAAGAGTGATTAACACAACGTTTGGTAATCCAATCAAATAAGGATTACCAAGGTAGGTTAAGAGTAATAACAAACTGTTTTGGGAGAGCATATCCCAAAATGGTTAGAAAAATAAATGAATTGTGAAAACAGCAGTTGTCCAGTACTGTCTGTCTGTCTATTTTCGACATAGAACTTTGCACAAATGTGCGGCAGTTCAAGTCACCACACTCCCCATATGTAGCACACAAACCAAGAGAAGAAAGTACAAGAAAAGCATAATAGAGACAGTACACAGAGGTATGACACAAAGGAATAGTAATAACGAAGAACATTAACAGTTTCATTGGAAATCATAAATCACAAGGAGTGGATGCATCTACTCCAGCCATTGAGAACGACGATTTTCAGCCATATCACCAATTGTCTCCAGCCTCCTTTGGTTTTTACCGTCCCGAGGACCCCGACCGGGAAGTCTACACCTTCCTACGTGGCTTAGACTAACTGTTGTAGATTTCATTGACTGGTGCCAAGTTTTTGTTTGACCGCCGCTAGCTTTTTTCCAGCCTGACCCTATATCCGCTAACATTTCCCATTGTCGAGGAAGGCGATGACTAGGCGAGACATGCGTAGCACATGTCCTAACAATCTCAGTCGATGTAATTTCACAACCTCGTCGATTGATTCCCCCTGTTTACCTAGCACTCGATGCCTAACCTCAACATTGCTCACATTATTATGCCACTTCACACAGGAGATAGAACGCAGGCACCTATGATCAAAGACAGTCCAGTACTCCCTGGTTTTCGGTGGTTCTCTAACTGATATCAATCCGTGATCAACTCGTAAAAAGGAATTGTGAAAAGCCAAATGGATGCAGGTGTCAGACTACCAACTTCGTCTATTGCTAAACATCTAATCGAGATGAACCATAAGATTGATGTTAACTCAGCCTTTAAGAGATCATTTATAAAAACGGTCAAGGGCGCTTATTGAAATACACTGAGACTATAGCTATTCATAAACTTAAGCCCCCCTTGTGTATTCAGAAACAGTATGTTATTACTCTTAACCTACCTTGGTAATCCTTATTTGATTGGATTACCAAACGTTGTGTTAATCATTCTTAAATCTTTTTTTTGTCACTTTGTTTAATTTAATATACAATTGGTGGATGGTGGCTAGCAGTGGAATCCAGGATGCGCATTTCGTCCTATTTAAATTTTCCATATATATTGACTTGATAAGTAAATGTGTGTGAACAGATTGTTCGAAATGTATAGCGCAAATACATCTTCTAATAATGATATCAAAATTTATAAAAGGGACTAATTGTGTTAAAATAATAATAATAATAATAATAACACTAATCTCATTCATTACCGTTATGTTGTTCATTGGATTCTGATATCTTCTTCAAGATTGTTTTTGATTTCTTCTTACATTTTTTACTCTATGATTTAGATTTCTCGTATAAATTCAATATTTTATCAATATCTTCAGCGAAAGACATATTCAGCATACGATCTGCTTCATCTAGGACAAAATGACGAATTGTTGACAGTTGATGAGCAGCGAAATTTGGCGATTGTTTTAAATGATCAACTAGACGTCCTGGAGTAGCTAATAAGACAGGGAAAGAAAGAAAGAAAGGAAAGATAATAACGATGGTAACGATGATGACAAGAATACTTCAGTCATCGATATGTCTTATAGTAATTAACAACACTTATATTTAATTGTGCTCTATGAACTGTGTGGCAGTTTAATTACGAAGCTTTCGTTATCCTTCTAGGCGACAACATAACTTCTGAGCAGGTTTTAGTAGGAAATAAACTTATTTACACGTATCTGCGGGAGAAGTTACATTGGGAGAACAGAAAGAAGTGTATATCTACGATTTTCTGAACATGTACGAAAAAGCCTATGGCTAAAGGGAACAAATGCTTTAAACGGTGTCATCGCCAGGCATCTCCTTGACACGGGTCATAAGGTGGATGTTGAAAAGTCGTTCAAAATTATCAATAGGCAAAAGAGCTCAATTTTCCTCACGTTTGCTAAAGCCATTTCCATCCATCAAGCGCCTGAAACCTGATTTATACGTTCAGAAAGAAGCGGTTATCAGTCTTTCTTTGCCCTGACTGGTAACTGGATATTTTTCATCTCTCTTTCATCTGAATACGAAATGGTGAAAAGTTTCTATTGTGAGTGATTAGTATTATTGTTCGGAATAGTGGTTAATATTGCATATTTATATATGTATATATTATTACTGTATGCGTCTATTAATCGATTGATTTTTGTTTAAAATGAACTCTGTGGGCAAGTATGTTAGAATTGTTTTTGTAGATATATTTAATAGTGTTTTTGGCCTGCGAGCAGCTGACGAGAAGGCAACGAAATAAAAGATGGTACCACTTCATTCTGCTAAAATTGTAGTTCTTTCTTTGTTCAAACTTATTTGAATTGAGTAAGAAATATCCTTTTCGATAATTTCCTCTTCTGGCTCTACAATTATATATATAGAATATTCTAGATTAGTAGTCAATATTAATATTAGTGTTTTTCAAATAGTATCGATTTGTTAAGTAAGATCACAATGGAATTACCACAGCTCATTAAAGATGCTTGTTTAAAAGAGTTCAAACACACACACACACACTGTAGCACTCCGATGCTAAAGAGAATGGAGGAAAAATAACTACTAACCGTCTTTAAAAAGAATGGATGTCCTCACGATTTCATCAAAAAGTGTTTTAAAATCAAGTCATAACACCAACAAGAAACTATCACCAAAGACCACATATATAGAATATATCTGAAATAACGGCTAGAATACTAAGACCATTTGAAATAGACTGTCTGTTTTCGACACAGAACTCTGCATATGTGTACGGCAGTTCAGTTAGCCACACTCCCCCACCCCCATGTAGCACACGAACCAAGAGAAGAAAGTAGAAGAAATGCATAATAGAGACAGTAAACAGAGGTGTAAGACAAAGGAATAGTAACAACGAAGAACAATATATTTTCATTGGAAATCATAAGTCACAAGAAGTAGATGCATCTGCGCCGGCCATTAAGAACGATGAGTTTGAGCCATGTCACAATTTGTTTCCAGCCACCATCAGATTTTACCGTCCCAAGGACCCCATCCAGTCAGGAAGTCTACACCTTCCTACGTGGGTGGCTGGCCTAAACTAACTGTTTTGGATTTCATTGACTGGGGAAGCCGTATTTTGGTTTGACCACCGCTGGCTAGCTCTTTTCCAGCTAACATTGCCCGTCGAGAAAGGCGATGGCTAGGCATGCATGCGTAACACATGTCCTAACCATCTCAGTCGATGTAGCTTCACAGTCTCGTAGATCGATTTCCCCTCCCACCTACCTAGCACTCAACCCTTGCCTAACCTGAATATTGCTCACCTTATTATACCACTTCACAGAGGAGATAGAACGCAGGCACTTATGATCAAAGACAACTAATCAGGTATTTCACGTCTTCCACTCTCAATGGGTAGGTCTCACAGTTATAAAGGAGGATGGAGCGGACTGATGAGCAGTACATCCGACCTTTGGTAGATAGTCAGATATCACGTCTACGCCAGGGACGGCGTAAACTGGCAAATGCGAAACGAGCCCTCTGTATCCTCACTCAGCTGAGATTTCGTCAGGGATCAACCCGTTGGCACTGGCTGATGGTACTTCCCAAATAATTGAAGCGGTCAACGTGCTCTACCACTTCACTTCCTATTTCCAATCTTGGAGGCGGTGTAGTCCAGTCCTGTAACATCATCTTGCATTTGACGGGAGCGAATTGCATGCCAAATATTCGTAGATTGCAGCTCAAGGTATTCAGAAGACTCTACATTATGCCAACGTCCTCACATAGAAGGATTATATTATCTGCATATTCTAAGTCAACGAGATTATTCCCCGGTAACAAGTCAATCCCTGTGTCTCTGAAGTGGGTTAGGGTTAACTCCATCAGTACATCTATGATGAAGTTGAATAAAAATGGGGATAATGGGCATCCTTGACGGACACCACTAGTCGTCACCACTTCAGTTGACAACTCGCCGTAAGCCCTTACCTGGCTGGCTGCATGAGTTCGAGTAGAGTGAGTGCCTTGATCAGTGCAATGTATTTTCTCGGTATTCCCTTTACAGCCAATCATCGCCAGAGAACCTTTCAGTCGACACAATCGAATGTGGCTTTTAGGTCAAGAAATATAATGATAGTTGGACGCCGGTAGGAATGCCTATGTTCCAGAATCTGTCGGAGAGTGAAGATATGATCAATACACGCTCTTCCTGATCTAAAGCCTGCCTCACTCTCTCGTGTTCGTGCCTCCGGTGCACAACTTAGTCTACGCCTGATTACTGAGCCTAGGACTTTAAATACTAATGTTAGTCGAGCTAATCCCTGTGTGATTATCACAGGAAGACTTGAAATAGACATAGACTTTGAAATATACATAGATCAGAAACCAGCACAATCACTCCATTTGATATTATGCAAACAGAAATATCCCCTCAGCAGAAAAAGAAGGTCAATGCCATTCACAAAATAAATTGCACAAACTGTGACAAAACACTACATCGGTCAAAGTTAGCGTCTCCTTCGAATCCGAATCCAAGAACACACATTAGCTGTGAAAAGACACGATATGCACTCTTCCATATCAATGGATATAGATAATTATGGATACCAGTATGAGTGGAAGAAAGTAGAAATTTCAAATAGAGGAAACACCAAAAATACTACTAGGAAATTTCTAGAACCCTACTACTCAGAAGATCATAGGTGCCTGCGTTCTATCTCCTCTGTGAAGTGGTATAATAAGGTGAGCAATATTCAGGTTAGGCAAGGGTCGAGTGCTAGGTAGGTGGGAGGGGGAAATCGATCGACGAGGCTGTGAAGCTACATCGACTGAGATGGTTAGGACATGTGCTACGCATGTCTCGTCTAGTCATCGCCTTCCTCGACAGTGGGCAATGTTAGCTGACATAGGGTCAGGTTGGAAAAGATCTAGCACGCGGTGGTCAAACCAAAATACGGCTTCCCCAGTCAATGAAATCCACAACAGTTAGCTTAAACCATTGGCGTAGGAAGGTGTAGACTTCCTAAATGACTGGTTGGGGTCCTCCGGACAGTAAAAACCAGTGGTGACTGAAAACAATTGGTGACATGGCTCAAACTCATCGTTCTCAATGGCTAGTACAGATGCATCCGCTTTATGTGACTTCCGATGAAACTATATTGATCTTCGTTACTATTAACCCTTTATCTCACACCTTTGTTGACTGTCTCTATTATGCATTTCTTCTACCTTCTTCTCTTGCTTTGTGTGCTACCTGGGGGGAGTGTGGCGACTTAAACTGCTACACATCGGTGCAAAGTTCTATGTCTAAGCAATCCTTCTGTGATTATCACAGGAAGACTTGTCTCCATTCTCGTATACGGGGATAATCAGTGACTTGCACCAACCCGATGGGACTTCCTCCGACTCCTAGACGCTGCCTAGTACCTCAGTTAATGCAGACAGTAAACTGTCTCCACCGTACTTAAATACCACTGGAGTCATTCCATCAGGTCCCGCTGCTTTGCCTAGTTTCAGATTGGTGACAGCTTTAGTAACCTCAGTTAGGGATGGAGGACCTGTGTCTATATTCCATTCAGGGAGGTGTTGGATGTTCGGCAGGTTGAGCGTGGCTGCAGGCCAATTAAACTGCTCCTCAAAGTGTTCTTTCCAGCGTTCCAGTCGTCTATCCTAGGAGCTAATTATGGTGCCATTTTTCTCCGAGATTGTTTCACTAATGATTTGCCTTCTCCCACCCGTTTCCCTGATGAGTCTAAATAGTTGCCTGGTGTTGCCTATACTCGAAGCTTTCTTCATCTCTTTCGCTTTTGTCACCCACCACTAATCACGGTCCTTGCGGAGACTTTTCGTAAGTTTCCTTTGTACAGCTTTCGCTCCTCATTGAATTCGGAGCTCGCCGGAATAAGTCTTCTAGCATCTATCAGTTCGGATGAGGCGGTGGAGATCCAGTGGTTTTTACTCACCTTTGGGTTTACCTTATTCACAGCTTTTACAGCTGTATCTATGGCTGACTGGATATTTTTCCAAGCTTCTTCAGGGTGAGCACAGCTGTCGAACACAGATATGTATCTAGCTAGTTCTTCCTCAAATACGGATTTAGTTTCCTGATCGAGCTGGGGACGTGATGGTTTTACCGCCAGCTGTTTCCTACGTCCGTTCAGTCGTGAGCACACACGAGCCCGGACCAGTGCGTGATCGGTATCTACACACGTGTTCCAGAAGGGGCGACAATCTCCTACCGACCCACGCCAACGATAGCTTATTGCTATGTGGTCTATTTGTGTCCAGCGTTGGTTAGATGAAGGGGGTCTCCAAGTCAAACAGTGTCTCTCCTTGTGTTTGAAGTTAGCGCTTACAAGAAACTAATGATTATCAGAACAGAACTGTAGTAGACGGTCACCGTTGTCGGTTCGCCGGCACGGAACTCCATAAGTGCCACCGACATCCTTCTCAGATTGACACAATTCCTCTACTTGAGCGTTAAAGTCACCAGCTAGAACAACTATGTCTGAGCGTTTAG